TGCGTTTTGGAGCTAGACGAGGAACAGGGAGGTCGGAGGGGGGAGGGAAGAGGAGGAGTAGGAGGTGGAAGAGGGCGAGCAGACGGTCGAGAGGCCTCTTGCATGCCTCTCGGAGCCTCCTCGGATGTCCCTGAGAAGCCTGATGGAGGTCTCCGGGGGCGTCGACCCCCCCCGCCACCACCACGGCCCGTAGCTGCGGTCGCCGACCGACGGAGCACAGTGAGAAGGAAACTCGAGGAAGGGCTACCCACTTCCCCCGATCGCCGAGGTCGTGGAAATCGCGAGGAGCACGCCTATCGAGCAGAAGCAGCAGCTGCCAAGCAGCTGGCGGCTGGGGCAGGGGCGCCTTGCCATAATGAACGTGCTCGGGCTTCGCCCCCATCGAATCGCGCAGCAACTTGGCGCAGGGGGCCAGAACGTCCTGGCTGCGAGATGGACGGGAGAGCTGGAGGAGGGGGGCGGGGGGCTCGAGGCAAGAGGTCGATGGGAGGCGCGATCGGACCCGCGGTGGAATGAACTCTGGCTGCAAGCCCGACAGCACAATAGGAATGGACTCTGCTGGCCGAGCCACTAGGGATGCTGAGGCTGGCTCATCTGAAGGCCAGGACTGGAGGCTGGACTCGGGAAATGTCAGACTCCGAGGAGGGAGAGGGGGATAAGAGGAAGAAAGGAAGAGAAGGAGAAAGAAAAGGGCGGGCCAGGTGGGGAAAGGGCACAGACAGGGACGATGGGAGTGGAGGAAGGAGAGGATGGGAGGAGGAAGACCAAATAGAGGAGGACGGTCCGAAATATCATACACGTTGACTGGCACCCACGGTCACTGCGCCTCCAGCGAGGCCCTCTCTGGAGCTCCAATGCCTCCCCTGCCGAATGCGCAGGCGGACCGAGAGCCCACCCCCTCGCCCCGTGCTCACTTCAGAGGACATGCAAGCGCCAGGGCAGCATCCCAAGAACTTCCGACCCCGAGCTCCAAGGAAACGACCTGAGCGCTTTCCAGGAGGACGACATGTTGGGGCCACGCAAACATACACGAACCCATTAGGACACGACTAACTCTCATGGGAAAAGCTCGCCACTCAATGCTCATAACCCACAATTACAAGGATACGGCCAGCCATATCGCACGAAAGATCAGCAGCGCCCAAGATGGTCAGGTGGACCCACAGCATCGACAAGATGTGTACGTGTCAGACACGAAAGAACCGAGCCTCTGACATACGTCGACCGTGGCTGCGCAAGCACTACCCTGTCCCCTGCCCAACCTGCACACAGAAGCGTCACGCGCATGGGCGTGGGCGGGCGCCCGTACTCAGGACGCACTGACCGACCAACCCAGGGCGGGTTCTGATGAACGAAGCGATCTGGCAGAAGAACCCCTCGTGGCCCCCGGGACATGGCACTGGCCGCGACCCGCGCTGGTCGCGGCGAGGGGGAAGGAAGGACCTGGCCCAGAGCCCCTCAGCCACAAAGGCGGCAGGTGCAGTGCTGCACTGTCATTCTGCTTGACTGAAGGTATGCTCGAACTACGTGCTAGGATGGACTCCGACACCCTGGAACGTATCCGAGGACCAACTTCGAGCGAACTGTAGACGAACAACGACGAGACTGACGCGGTCGAGAATTCCGACGAGGACGGCGAGGGCGACGAAAACGACATGACCGACGACTGTTCAGCCCCGACCAAAAACTGAGAGGACGGAATGCGGCCGAACATCGGCCGAACGACACATCGCGATTGCAATTATGCAGAGGGAACTCCGAAGACCCAACGCCTGCTCACCACTGATCCCCGGCCACCCCCGGCCGCCCCCCGGCCACCCCCGGCCGCCCCCCGGCCACCCCCCGGCCACCCCCCGGCACCCCACCCCCCGGGGGCCACCCCCCGGCCACCCCCCGGCACCCCCGGCCACCCCCGGCCACCCCCCGCCACCCCCGGCGGCACCCCCGGCCACCCCTTAGGCAACGCTAGAAATAGGAAACCTCTTGGGCAACCTCTTGGGCAACCTCTTGGGCAACATCTTGGGCATCTGCGATGGCTGCTCTCCGATTGAAACGCAGGCAGTGGTAATTTCAATGTGTTCGAGCTTCGTCAACTTTCGAGCTCAAGTTTGAGCTGCGAGAGGGGCCCGCACTCATCAAACAGGGCCCAAGACAAGGAGAGTGGCTGACGTAGAGCAGAGAGGGGCGCAAGTGAGAGCGAGCATGACTCGACGAGCGCGTTCCACTACTCGCAAAGTGACTACACGCAAATAGCCTGGATTCGCCGAGGGAGATCTACGATAAATTACATCGAAAACAAACATGCGTTGTTCGGACGTTTGCGAGTAGGCACTCTCTGCGAGTGGTGGAACGCGCTCGTCGAATTACGGACTCCGCATCGGCGCGTCATGTCAGGCGACTCCGCCAACGCCACCCTCGGCGAGGAGTCCGAAGGCCTGGCGGGCGGCAAGAAGGAGCAGCTCTCCAACGAGGAGAGCAGTGGGGGGCGCAGGAGGGGGCG